TGCCTGCTAATTAGCCTTGTTTTGGGAGCAATCTTTTTGCTGGGAATGATAAACTGGCAATTATAAACTAGTCTGAAATAGCCCATTCTGCCTGCTAATTAGCCTTGTTTTGGGAGCAATCTTTTTGCTGGGAATGATAAACAAGTCTCATGAAACTTTTTTGCCACAGAGGAGCCAAGGTACCTGTGCCACCAGATGGTAGAAAATGGAAGAAAGTTATCCATGATGACAAGGTATCTTTAACTACAGTGATCAGTCTGTCACTAATAGACCAGTAGTAGCTCAGCCAATCAGGGTGCAGGATTTGTGATAGACCATTAGTAGGTTTAGAATAATATCAATAATTTTATCATTCTATCTGCATCTTAGGCCCCGTCCACACGTATCCGGAAATTTTCGTGTCTGCAAATTTTTTTTGTTGCAGATATGAAAATGTTCACGTCCACACGCAGCGTATTCGAATAGTATTCGAATAGTATTCGAATAGTATTCGAATAGTATTCGAATATTTACTATTACAACGCTAGTGCCTAGTCCCTTTAAAGGATAGTTTTCTTATTGAGCATGCGCAAAATGGTGTTTACGCCATGGTATTCAAAAATTTGCGGATACAACCGTCTACATGTATCCATATTCGGAGCATATTTGAAAATTTCCACTCTGGAGACCATTTTCGAAAATTTCCGGATATGGATACACAAATTTCCGGATACGAGTGGAGGGGGCCTTACTGGGAGCTAACAGCCTGCTGTATGACTGTATTTATTTATTGTAATTTTATTCAAGGTCACATGGTTAGCATGCTGGATAGAGAATATCCAAGGTAGCTACAAATATGTCATGTTAAACCCAACTTCTAGATTAAAGGTAAGAACAAAGCTTATCAATCAAATCTTACTTAATTCTGGTCGATTCACTATATACTGGTATGTAACTGCCAGCTGCTTTACAAGATTATGACACTTAATAATGTTATCATAATGCAAAATTACACTTTTGAAATTGATGATAATCAATTGGGTTGGTAGTCATACTGTAGGTCTTAAGTAGGTCTGCTGTGATTCGATAGATTACACTAGTAATGATAACTTTTTTATAGAAAAAAGTTAGTCAGAATTGCACAAAGTGGTCAAGTTTCAATGGTCAGAGCAATTCCTTGTGGAATTGTAGGAGGAAATTTGAGCAATTTTTGAGTAAAATGTATGGAGCAGCCATGTTGGTCAATTACTGTGCACCAACATGCCAGACAAAACTTAGAAGGCTTAAGATTATGAAATATTCAATATTTTTGATTATATTTCACTGAAAAATTCTCAATATAAGCATTTTAGACATTGCTAATGCAAATGTTTTCAACTAGGGTAAATTATCTTTGGTTTTCATCGTTATTCAGATGGACATGACAGTATTGTGTGACACAATTTGGGAACAAAACATGAAAAATATGTTATCAATATTGATCATGGCTAGTTTTTACATGTCCTTTATTTTTTTTCCCGTTGAAGCTTGAAACCATTTTTTCAAGTCTTTCTTTACAGCGTTCGCTTAGGTCGCTCATTCACTGTGATGATCAACACATCYATCATTATTTCACCACAGTTCTATCCATTCAATATTCACATGTCCTTTTATAGAAAATAGCAACTAAATATCATATTTTTGCACTCCTATCCTTGGTACTTTTAACATTGATGTCTTTTTAATCTCTTCAGGGAGAAAAAGATTGGAAGAAGTATGAAACAGCTAGAAAACTTAAAGTAAGTTATATTATTGCTTTGTAAATACCCAGTGCTAAAAAGAATGGCTTGTCAGTTGCTGGTCTTATCAGTCGCTGGTCAAATTAGTTTTACCTCAGTCATTGCCTCATTCCTGGCTCAACATTACTGGCAAAATGTCCTGCAAGCCAAAAGTTTGACCGAACAAGTTCCAATTCTTTGTGGACATTGTCCAATGACTGGCTGTTACTTAAAGCCCTTTACCTGAATATGCTCTTATTTTTGCTCTCCAAAAAGCCCAGAAAGCACACATCATATAACAACTTTCATTATTTTTCCATTGTAGGATTTAGTTGAAAAAATTAGAGAGAACTACAGAAGGGACTGGAAGTCCAAAGAAATGAGAATACGACAACGGTAAGACCTGTGGCTACACCTTGTTTTCCTAAGCATGCTTCTCTCATGCTCTACAGCTCCCAGTATGTTTATATCACAGTACAGAGAAATGCGTGTGCATTTCATATTTATGGATGGCCACAAATTTGTCAGTGAAAACTGTTAAATGTCACCCTCCTTAAATGAAGTTGATTAATTGATTGATATTGCTTAATTACACCATGACACTAAAGCTCTAACTTTTTTGTATTTCAGAGGAGTAGCACTATATTTTATTGATAAGGTAGGGACAAAAACCTGTAAAATTATTCAAACTATTTGTCTTTTCAGTTGTCTCATGTTTAGAATATTCAGAATGAAAAGAAACTTGGTTTACATTTAGCATTTTTTTTCTCTCTTCTTCTTTCGTGTTTTTCCTTCCTTCCTTCCTTCCTCCCTCCCTCCTTCCTTCCTTCCTTCCTTCTTTTGTTCATTCGTTCTTTCTCTCTTTTATACTTCTTACTTTACACTTTCTTTTCTTACTCTTTCTCTTTTTCCTTTTTATCTCTTTCTTTCTTTCCCTTTTTTATTTTTCCTTTCCTTTACTCTTTTCATTTACCTTTTCCCTTTTCTTTTTTCTCAATTACTTTGTCTTTGTTTTTTAGCTCGCCTTGAGAGCAGGTCATGAAAAGGACGACGACACAGCTGATACAGTAGGCTGCTGTTCGTTACGAGTAGAACACATAAGTAAGTAATAACAGCAAAATACCATAGGTAAATTTTTTCCTACTTAAAAGCCTTTTAGCAAACAATTCTTGGTCTGCATGTGACGACATACTGTAGCCGTCATTTTGGTTGACTTTTACAAAAGATTTGAATTGGTCTTGGTGTCTTTTGTCACGTCAACTAACATGGTGGCCACATCTTTGTCCTTTTATTCTCATGGTAATGTTTGCACCCCACCAGTACTCCAGTTAACCTCCATCTTTGTAGATTATCCATTTTAATATATTGAATTTTCTTTTCTTTATCAGAGCTACATGATGAATGGGAAGATAAGGAATGTGTTGTAGAGTTCGACTTCCTTGGTAAAGACTCTGTACGGTATTGGAACTTTGTGCCCATTGACAAGAAAGTAAGTCAAACTCATTGGCATTTTTCTTTAGAGTAGGAAAGTATTGGCCTTTTATTATCCAACGTTACTCAGTAGAGTACAAATATATTGCAGGAAAAAGCTCGGAGCGAGTACAAATATCCTGCAATATTAAAACTCTAGGTTATATTACACAGGAAAAAACTGTTGGTTCTTAAAAACTAGTTCAAAGCTAAACATTCGCTTTGAAGCCTGTATAATGAATAACTTGTAAGACATGCTAAAGTGCTCTCACTCGAAACAATATCCAACCGTACTGCACCCTAAACTGTCTAATAAGTTATTTGAATTGTAAATCGGTGAGCTATTTTTAAAGTATGATTAAATGGTATGCCAAATGGATTTTATGTATTTGTCATTGCAGGCTTTTAAGAACTTGAAGTTGTTTATGGAAGGAAAACAAGAGGGCGATGACCTCTTTGACAGATTAACGGTTAGTACACTGACCAACCAAGCAAGTTTATATTCACCCTCTAACATGGAATGTGCCATTAAAGTAAATTAGACCATGCTATATTCGCCATATAGTATACACCCACAGAATGACGCCATACCATGTAATAGACCCTTTTCAGTGTCTTGCCATACATTGCTTAAGAAAAAGAAATGTTTGGGTCATTAGACCACATTATGACATCACACCATGTATTATACTGAAAGGAATGCATTCCTTTTTCACAGACAACCTCATTAAACAAGTATCTGTCTGAGCTAATGGAAGGTTTATCGGCCAAAGTGTTCCGTACCTTTAACGCTTCGATGACGCTACAGGATCAGCTTGATAAGCTTACCAACCCTGAAGACAATGTCAACGCGAAGGTCTTGCAGTATAACCGAGCCAACAGGGCTGTGGCTATTTTATGTAACCATCAGGTATGCCTGTCAGGGGTTGGATGGGGGGGGGGGGGGGGGGGGTGGAGGTTGGGAATCAAGGACAAATAACGCGGTCTGTGAGGTCTGGTCTGTGAGGAAAGATAGTAACGGTACGTACTGAAAAAGTGATGATGTAACCAGAAGCTCTGATAGACCTTAAGGGGAGTGAAACAATGAGTAAGTACGTCAGGGGGTCGGGAGGATTCTATTTTCGTCAAGATGTCAGGGAACTTTCCCTTCAAGGATAGCACCTTACAGGGTTTTGTATACCGTTATACCTGGTACCTTATATCTTTTTGTATGTCGTTTCATTTGTACAGAGAACTGTGCCAAAAACCTTCGAGAAGTCCATGAGTAATCTACAAGTCAAGGTATATTTTCCTTTAGTTTGCTGTGTCCTCATCTAAATTTTATCCAACCCTGAAACTGCCTCTTGGCTGATCTAAGTCGGGGCATGGCTAACTCACATACCAAGTCTCCATTTCATAGGCAACTAACTTTAGGAAATTACACTCTAATTTTCTGAGCCATTTTTGAACTATCTTGAGAAAGAAAACGCACGTTTTGGCACATTTGACCTCAAGCTCACAAAGATGTTTCAAAACTCATGTGAGATGAATAAATTATCTCTGTGAGTGACGTTGAAGCCAGTAAAATGTTTCAAAGCCTCACTTGAGATAAATAGATTTTTTTCTCTTACATAATCGTATTTTACTTCTCCAATTTATAGGCAACTAGGTTTAGAAAATTACACTCTAATATTCTGAGCCATTTTTGAACTATCTTGAGAAATAGAACACACGTTTTGGCACATTTGACTTCAAGCTCACAAAGTTGTTTCAAAACTCATGTGAGATGAATAAATTATCTCTGTGAGTGACGTTGAAGCCACTAAAATGTTTCAAAACCTCACTTGAGATAAATAGATTTTTTTCTCTTACAAAATCGTGTTTTACTTCTTCAATTTATAGGCAACTAGTTTTAGAAAACTACACTCTAATTTTCTGAGCCATTTTTGAACTATCTTGAGAAAGAAAACGCACGTTTTGGCACATTTGACCTCAAGCTCGCAAAGTTGTTTCAAAACTCATGTGAGATGAATAAATTATCTCTGTGAGTGACGTTGAAGCCAGTAAAATGTTTCAAAAGCTCGCTTGAGATATTTTCTTTTGTCTTACGAAATCGTATTTTACTTTTCTAATTTATAGGCAACTAGTTTTAGAAAGCTACACTCTAATTTTCTGAGTCATTTTTTAACTATCTTGAGAAAGATAAAGGTTTTTTTGGTATTTGTTTATCTCATTCTTACTTTCAAATCCGTAGATCGCTGACAAAAAGAAGGCAGTCAAAGATGCGAAGAAAGAACTGAAGGAGTTGAAACATAAACTAAAAGAAAGTAAAACCGATAGCGCAGCCAAGTAAGTAGAACGAACCTGTTTTTACCACTTCGCTATTCTTTTATATACACATATTTTTATGGACATTAATAGTTTTGGTGGTGATGACGACGGTGATGATGATGATGATAATGGTGGTGTTGATTATGATGATAATAGTGTTCATAATAGTAATGGTGTTGATAATGATGATGCTGATCGTGTTGATGGTATTGATTTTGTTAGTGATAATGGTAATAGTGATGAGTACGATGATGATGATGATCACGATGATGATGATGATGGCGATGTTGATGATGGTGATCGTGTTAATGATGATGGTTTTATTTTTTACTTGTCTCACTTTTATATTTGTTACGCACTGTACTAGAGCTGTTGAAAAGAAAAAGGCCCAAGTGCAGCGCCTTGAGGAACAACTTTTTAAATTGGAAGTTACTGCCACAGATAAGGAAGAAAACAAAGAGATCGCACTAGGAACTTCCAAACTCAACTACTTAGATCCAAGGATTACTGTTGCCTGGTAAGTTGCTATTTATCGCCGGCCTGACGGCTCTAAAAACAAGACGCACTCAGAGCGTGCACTGGGATTCTAAGGGCTTCTTTCTAAGTTATGATCTGTGCTACCAGCATTCTTGATTATAGCTCAAAAGCAAAAGCGCCAGACCTAGACACTAAATTGGCGATTTGCTAAGGATAGTACAAAAGCGGCATTTTGTTATTCGGGTGTTCACAAGAAACCCGAGCAATAATTCTTCATACTGGAGTATTAAGTTACGATCCTCAACATCGTCTGTGGCTGTGGCTTCAAATGTACATTTCTATGGCGATGAGCTGTTAAATGAGACCGGTCGCAGTCACAACAATACACCTTTTGCTGTTCATTAACAGAAAATGTACATTCATTTGTGCCAATAGTTGTATCAATAACGT